GGAATGGCCGCGAAGGGACAGAGATAAAGTAGTGAACAGAACCTGACCTTGATGTCGCTTGAGAAAGGGAGAGTCTCTGCGATGAGCAATGTGTGTACGCAGGCAAGGGAGCACATGAGCGTGTGTATGCCTTGAGCTGTGATTGATTTCTCTAAGTTTGACTCCATTCTTTCTGTTTCTTTTCAAATGTAACTGCAGCTATTTAACTCTCTGATTAACTCACCTCCCTGTACGAGTTGTTTTCTGTGATGCATCCCAGCACTGTACAGCCTCTCTGGAAGCCGCCTCGCTGGGTTGGGATGAATCCCTCCCCGATGTGCAGTGTGGCACATCTGCTCTATTTACTGGTGTTGGAATGAGGTTCCGTGTTTGCCGTAAATCAGGTCCAGAGGAACATTTCAGTGTCATGTCAGGTTCTGCGAGTTTGGTAGCATCACAAATTATATGAGGTGCTCTCAGCCAGAAAAGCTATCATGTCACAAAATCTCCTTCTGGACCGTTGTAGTTTCAAGGTCCCCACAACTTTAGTTTCAACTTGGTCCACTGTAAATCTCAGTAAAATCTGACTCTTGTTTTGTGCTGACATTTCAAGGGCTCCAAAACCCAGTGATCTTCCTAACCCATCTGAGCTCATCAGTACTGTCAAAACATTTCTTTACTCAAAGGCTTAAGACCCATGTGAACTATGTCATCGATCCCTCCTTCCTTAAATATCTCTTTTATTTTCTATTCAATTTCCCTAATAACTTAGGTACATACATTTCTTTGCTGGACAGGCTTAGTTTTCTTATCGCTACCACGCAAATGTAACTGGAGAACAAAAATCCTTATTACACCGTTTGGTGGTATCGTGGGCACATAAAGGAAAGATATTCCCTTGATGCAGCGTTATTGCATTACCCAGCAATTCTCAGCAACTCTTTGCTTCACTGGCTTGAAAATACAGGAGAAGCTTGTAGGTCGGTGATGGGTGATGCGACGACACAGCAAATACTGATGATAGGTCTGGTAATGAAGATAGCGCATCTGTGCCCACATCTACTGCAACCGTGGCCCTTTTTATCTCATTGGAGAAGTGCTTTTCTTTCATGACTGTTAAAAAAGACATTTAGGCTGCTGGAGGTGGAAGAGATTTTTTTTGGTTTTCCTACCCGTTGACTGTAGTCTGAGAACAGCAGATCAGCTAGAGGTGAAAAAGAAGCCCATGCACCTCATGGTGGAAGTTTCTGGAGGTAGCATGCGGTGCTGCTGGACGTGCTTATCTGTGTTTCTAGGTTCTCTACAGATAAGCAATTGGCTCTCCCTGCCTCGTGCCCCTGACTATGCACAGCGTTAGCGCTCACGTGGGTCAGAGAGGGATGCTAAATACAGGGCTGTCCCAGAAGGCAAGCGGTAGCTTGTTGGAGGTGACTTAGGGACTGCCTCAGCCTGAGAGGGGTGGTTTGGGAGTACAGTACTTTATTTCAGCGGTCTATTTTTCTTTGTTTTGTTTTGCAGAAGGAGCACTGATCCCACCTTTGGTTTGTTTGTTTGTTTGTATTTTCCCCTCCAGAAAGCCCATTGCTGACCCTGCTACTGTGATACCGCTGTTTTGCAAAGCTGGAGTCGACACGCATGTAGGGGCGGGGGTTGTAACTCTGGCAATTTGTCCTTCCCGATTAGATGTGACTGTTCTGCTAGCTTTCCCTTCTTTATTCCTTTCATTTAGTTTGTTGTGGGAGTTGGCTTGGGGTTTTTTTCCTTTTGGTTTCTTGTTTTGATCCTGGAAGGTTAGCTGTGCAATTTGGTTTCTTCTGTGCCAACCAACTTTAGTGGCAGAGCTCTTAAAAAGATTCAAAGCTGTGTCCCTCCATCCTGTCTTGCTTCTCCTCCGTATGCTACCGCTTCCATTTAAGCAAAGTTTACAGAATTGCTCCGCCCATTTGGACACCAGGCAGGGAAGCTCTGACATGGAGAATAACCCCATTTCCACCACGTCCGTCAGTCTGGTCGAAACAACGCTAACTGAAACCGTAGTCCAGTTTCTATTAAGACGGATGGGCTTTCTCTGAAATTGGGTTTGTTTCCGATTTCAACTTTTCTCTCGTTTTCTTTCAAAAAAAAAAAAAAAGAAAAAAAGAAAAAAAAAGGCTCCACAAAACCCAACCCCAAAGCGAAACCTTTTTTAAGAGCTCTGAATGAAACTGCTTTGCCAATGGGGAATGGGTGGGGATGACTCTGATTTTTCTCTTGTGCCCGGCAGCGAAAGGGTTAATGCCTGCTTTCCTCTTTGGTATCTGTTAGTTGCAGCCCATGTTGTGATCAGTCCATGTCCATGTGCGTTTTGTTCCCAAATTTAATACCGGTTAATTAACGAGCAATAAGCGAGCCGTAACAATGACAGTTGTTTCCCATCTTCCTCAGGACACCCGACCTGCCTGCAGTTCACCACAAACATGACTGAGGCTGTTAAAACCTATCAGTGGCAGTGCATTGAGTGCAAATCCTGCAGCCTTTGTGGGACCTCTGAGAACGATGTGAGTTCATTTACCTTTTCATGCACCTAAGCATCACTGCAAGCTACTGTCGTGCCCGCCCTCGAGGAGCACGTGGCAACGGTGTGGGTCATGGCTTTACTGCTGCTTCCATACACCTCTGTGGAAGAGCTGCTCCTCAGAGTAGAGGGCTTCTCCCCAGTGCCCATGTTCAGCTGTCAGTCTCTGCAGAAACTGCCACAGGTATCACTTAGGGCCACTTAGGATGGCGATACTTGTGGTTTGTATGCTTAGTCAATAAAAATCAGCTGGAGGCCATAAACTCCTGTTGCAGGGAGCCGCAAGGATATCTTCAATGTGGTAGTCAGGAGTAGATGTGAATGGGTGATAACCCGAGAGATGGCCGGCATGTTTCTTCTGCCCCTGATTTTGCTAACTTTCTTGGCATGATTTTTTAATATTAATTACAAGGCTTGGAAAACATGAAAGCTTTTGAACTGGGATGGCTAGGCCTCTCTCCAGTCGCCTAATCACCTATCCTAGTCATTTCCAAACTGTGATCCAGAGCCTGCAGCTGAACAGTGTCCTCTCTGTGGGGTTTTCAGTTCAAATCTGATGCTACGGGTCATTGGTAGCTTGTGAGAAACCTGGAGAGCTGACAGTGCCTGGAGAACTTTGGAGGCAATTAGCTAACGCTGCATTCCCTATAGCTGAATACATTTGAAGCCTTAGATTTTTATATTTTTTTTGCTTTAGCAGTAAATAAGGAAATCTGAAACAGGGATCTGCTCTGTGTTAGGAATCACAAGATACTTTAAAACAGCTTCCCCCCGCCCCCAAATATATGAAAGAGCTGCAGACCACATGGTGGGATCATGTCGTTTCCATCTGTTTCACAGAGCATTTACTCAGCTGAGTTTTGGAGAACTGGCTTCAAAAGTCCAGGCTTTTGGCGAGAAAGGTCTCCCCTGGGGGAATGTGATCCAGCATGTGGTCACAGCGGAGCTCAGCAAAGCCTGTCCTCTTCTCTCAGTACAGCACATTGAACGACTGGCAGTTTTTGCTCCTGCATCATCAGGCTGTCTTGGAGAGGAAGCCTTCTACCTCTCAGAGAGACTTTTCCAGTTAGAAACTGAACTGCCTTTGTGATGAGAAGGGCTCTGCAGCCTTAGAGAAATGTGGTGGTCAACTGTGGACACACAAAGGGGACACCTATAGCCTTTCATGTTCCCAATAGTTTCTCAGTCTCTATGATGCAGCTCTGTGATCCTAGTTGAGCACTGCTGGTTACCATGCTTATGTTTTCATCTTGGCAAGAGGCTAATTTACACCATTTTCTCTCTCTCTTCTCCTCTTCTTCTCTCCCCGTTTCCCTACTGTCACCTCAACAACCCTGCCTCAGGACCAGCTGCTCTTCTGTGATGACTGTGACCGTGGCTATCACATGTATTGCTTGAATCCACCAGTCTTTGAGCCCCCAGAAGGTAACATATGTTGGGAGTCTGCTTTGAAAATCACAATAATGTCCTTGGGGAAAAGAGAAGAATTTCCGAAAGGTGGCCTGGGCCACGCAGGGTTAAGGAAGTGGTGGCAAAGCACAGGCAGGTAGCACTGGAAAGGAAGAAAATTAATAGACACGGAGGTCTACTGTGATCTGAGATGTCCTATTCAATCTTGCCTGATCTCTACCTCCTCTTCCAGGCCATGGCTCTTTTGTGGGTCATGGGTACCTTTGGATGTTCCAGGTGGCATTGGACACCTCAGTTTAGTCGACTGAATTGAGCCTCTCTGAACTGTTGACTTTGGACTTCTTAAGAAGTCAAAGTCCCAGAGAGAAAGCCCCAGACAGCGAGGTCCTCTCTGGAATAGCTGAGAGTCTGTTGCCAGGAGGCTGGATTACGAGGAATGACCTTCCTTGGACTCTGGTCTGTCTGTGTCTCAGAAGGGCAGGAGTTTTACAGTCCGTATTACATTTGGTACGTGGTTATGTCCTCTGCAGGGGATTCTGTCTGACTATACTACAACTGGTTGTAGTTTGTCACTTGGTTGTGGAGCAGAGGAACAAGTTCCTTACCAGTATTGATTCTCTGACTAAAATCTGCAGAGAGCAGTAGAATTGGAGGAGACACGCGAGTGCGAATGACTGCGGTTTACATGAGGGGTGAGACAGGAATAATTACAGGCCAGTCATGCATTCAGGAGCTAAGTGTTTGTAACTTTGATAAAGAGGAAACTAAATAATGAGGGGAAATGTTTGAAATTAAACTAGTAATTAGCTCAAGGTTTCAGTTTGACTGGGAAGTGGTGCACTGAATGTATGAAAACATAAAATACCCAATGGCAATGCACACCCCAGCTGTGTTGTAACTTGTGTAGAAATCCTACGTACGCAACAGCAAGGGCAGCAGAACCTGCTTCAGAAAAACACAGGCAATTCTATTCTTAGGAGTATTTGATATCCTTTTCAAGCCCATCTTGACATAGACTCTGGTGCCTGGATTTGATGTCATTCCTATAAGAAGGATTTCTTCATTTGCAGGGAGCTGGAGTTGTCATTTGTGCCGGGAGCTGCTCAGAGAGAGAGCATCAGCTTTTGGCTTCCAAGCCTGAGGAGCTCCAGCAGTCAAGAAACACTTTGCTCTTGGTGTTGCCATACCAGCACACAATTCCCATCCAGAACACAAAGACACAACCCACATCAAAACGAATGGACACTCAAATACAGGAAGAGGTATCTGTGGTATTCACTGTCACTAATGCCGTACCTTCTGAGCTCTACTGGAAGGATCGTGTGTTTCTCCCGATGCGCCGGATGAAATCTCTTCACTGCTATGCATGGTTTCTGCTTGCCGTTACAGGCTCACATGCATTATAGGAGGGGGAGGGTTGTTCTATCGACATGGAGAAGTCAATTTTGTGTGGCCTTGTGCTTTCTGTTTAGTCTTCTTTTTAAAGAAGAAGTAATAAGATGTCTCCCGAGGAATTATCGGTGAGTACTTCGCCTGGGAGCAGCACCAGTTGTTTCTCTTCACAGGCGTGACTGCAAATCTCTTTACTGCAAACACTCTTGTGTTCATAGCTGGGTTTGAGAGTTGCGTTATTTCAGTACTTCCCCGGTCGTGAACGACACGGTATCACTGACAGAAATGCTGATCACAAATTTTTGGGGGGACACTTTCTTCCTTGGATCAAATGCTTTGATTTGGCAGATCTTTAGAAATCTGGTTTTAGTATCTCTGAAGGAAGAACACTACCAGTATGTGCACACATAGAGGCTTAGCAAAGTCTTTGGTATTTCGGGATATTCAGGCACTCTGTCCCACTGCAGTGCCAGCACATGGTCCAGACTCACCATTTTATTTTGGCTCAGAAAATTGTGAATGGGTTTGTTTGTAACTGACTTGCTGTTTAGCTCAGAAAATTGAACATAAAGGGAAATGTCACCTCAAGTTGATCACAGGAAGTCAAACTGTCAGTTTTCTGAGCAATGTAAAGTAAGCTGTAAAAAGGAACAACTTTGGTTTAGGGTCAAATGAAGCACGTCTGGATATGTTTTTGAAATGTCTAAACTAAAATGTTCTGCAAGTTAAAGTTGCATTTTATTCTGGGAATTGCCTAATCAGGACTTTCAGCATTTGCAAAGTGTCACTGGTTTTTGTCAAAGTAATTATCAAGACCTACTGAATTCTCAAATGATTTTGCCCCCAAATCCTCTACTGATAATTTGGCAAAAGCCTTCCCCAGCTCTGAAGAGGAGAATAATTAATTGCACCTAATATGAGAAGAAAGATTTTTTCATAACGAATTTTAAAATTTAAATAGAAATAGTTGTACTTTATTTAAACAAACCTTTACATGTGAAACAGAGAAACATTAAGCAAGTGCATACGTTGAAAAAGTAGTATTACCATTGAATCTCTTTTAATAATTTAAGACATCATTAGGAGGACAAGTGAGTACATTCAAGAATTTCTTCCAGATACATCTTTCAGGTTAAAAACCTGCAACTTCCCGAACTGCCAAGTGGCCCAGAATTACCATTTTCTTGGGTATGATGTATACTACTTTCTATGCATAATTTTAAGTGGGTTTAGAATATAAATTTATGCGAGTCACTAGCAGCACGTGACCCAAGTTGCTTGTACAAGTAGGCGAGGATGCAGAAGATTATATTTGGCATATTTATAATGGTTGAAACTTCTCTGCAAAAATCAGATGTCCCTGAACACTTGAAAGGACATTGTGAAAGAATACCGGAGTGCTAATTTTTCTTCCTTCTTCTGCTAATTACACTTAGTTAGAATGAGCTATACTGACCTAATGCACTTTTCCTCATTATTTAGATAGTTTCTTCACCTTTTGTGTTTCGTTCAGCTTGCACGCTGAAAGCAGCCGTGTCAGCTGCTGGATTCCTCCGTGTACTGTCGCAGCCTCAGGCTGCAGCAGGAGGATTTTAACCTGTTAGGAAGAGGCTTTACTAAGGTTTAGGAAGTATTTATCCTAGTTGTATTGGACCAAATCTCTCCTGGAGCAGCTGCACCGGCTACCTTTGAAATTCATTCGATACCTTAGGCTTTCCGTGTGACGGCCCCTCAGATGAGCTGATAGTGCAAAGGAATTTGAGCATCAGGTGAGGGAGGGGTAAAGCAGGAGCCCACAGACCTGCATGGGGTGTAGCTCTAGAAAAAATGTGAAGCAAAGCATCTTCCTCCCAGCCTGCAACTGCCCTAGCCCTGGGGAGCACTTGGGGACCACGGTTCATCTGGATGAGCATCTGTTGGTGTGGTCAAACCCTGCTGACCTGGCACTTTGGGACCGTCACACAGTTCAGGCTGATACGAAGTCCTGTGGCTGCTGTGGCCAGGAGTGCAGATATGTATTCACCAGGACACTGCTGGGCTTTCTCATGGAAAGCGAGTGGTGAGAGCAGCAGAGGTGGGTTAAGTGTTCAGGCTGGTGCTCATCTACCAGGCCCGCTGGGCTTAAGGAGCTCTGTCATAAAAAAAACCATCATCTATCCAGTTTCCTGGCATCTGCGTGGACTTTGGGAGGGGAGTAGGACAATGTCTGCATTATCAAGTGGAGAAGAAAAGACATATTGTTTTAGCCAGTGTGTTAGGGACACAGCAGTGGCTCATCATGTCTCAGGTAGCCCTGTTGGTGGGATGGGCAGGTGCACAAACTCAGTGCTCTCCAGACGGTGCTAAATGAGCTGTGCTCTGCATGCCCACCCACTTTCCTGTTTTGAGGCTTTGATCCACAGCACTGGCTGTTTTCTTGTCCCACAACCATCCTGCAGTGAAAAGTGTCTTTCACGTCTGGAAATCTTCCTCAGTGGCCTTGCTGAAGTTTCATCACTAATTAGGTATGACGGAAGGAGAGATTGCTCAATCTTCAACAGCAAAATATTGTTTGCCATTTGAGCTCAGTGTAATAGAGCAGCTCCTTACCCGCAGTGGTCTGGCTGTGTTTCATCTCCCCAGCTTTGTGCTGTGTAGCCAGGCAGCTCCAGGTAGCTTTGGCAGCAGACAAGATACCAGCTCTCCCATGCTGAGAACTTCCTCCAGCTCCAATCTCCCTTCTTCACCAGCTCAGTCTAAGATGAGGGTCTGAGATGGACCTCTCAGTCCTTCAAAGCCATATGTCTTGGCACACTTTAGAAGTATTAATTGATCCACCAAGCAATCAATGCTGTACCCACTTCACTGAGATGTGGGGAGACTGTGGCCATGGGGGTGAGGAAGAGTTTAGACACCAAGAACTGGTTCCCTGTTGCTGGTACCCCCCTGGGGACAGCCTTCCTGCATGGCTGTTGGTGTGAACCACTTGGGCAACTCCACCTGCTGTCAGGCAAATCCTGAAACAGCTCTGGTCTGGGCAGCAAACCAGGTGAGGACTCCAACTCTGTTTGCTTCTCTCACTTTCTACAGCAGGACGTGCAAGTCTGCTGGCAGCCCTTCAGGTGACCAAACTCCAGCATATTTCAGAACTCTTCTGTGTAGGCAAGGCAAGCAATATTTTAGCACAAATCAGGGCAAACTGCCATGGGAGATGGTAGATCCTGCATCCCTTGAAGTCTTCAAATCAAGAATGGGCAGCTTCCCGGAAGCTGTATTTTCATTTAATGCAATCTTAGTTAATCATAGGAATGTCTGACTGAAAAAGGCTCGTCTTAAAGAGGAAGTCAGGCTGGATAATGTAATTGTTCTGTTTGTCTCTATTATAAAACCAGATGTTTACTATGGGAGAGGATGTATTTAAATAGAAGCTGTGTCTGCATAATGGCCTTAAAGTATGTTAGTTAAACATATTCATGTGATCCTTCTCTTTTTTTAACACATTTTGGAGAACCTAAAAAAGGTCAGTTACGGAAAATCGCTGTTACTGATGCAGTTAATTGCACGTTACCTCCTTTATGCCCACGACGGCAGCTACATTGGTGTTAGCTACCTCAGGCTGCTCCAGAGGCTGAACAATTCAGACTGTATGGCATGAAACCGTGGCTTGGTGCTGGGTTTGCTTCCATCACATCTGTGTGCTGTGCTGCCCAGCTTTCTGCCCCATGGTGGGACAACGGGCTGGGAATGGGAGCTGCTGCAGTGGCAGCCTCAGAAACCAGAGGAATAGAGAAATGGTCACAAAAAGGGGGTGCATCCAAGTCGCCACCACTGAGGAGGTGAGCTTGTGTTACCATCACAGAGCCTCCCCTGTAGCTTGGAAAAGGCAATACCTTTAAGAAACATGAGATGGGTCCCATTCTGTCTCCAAACCGTACTTCCATAGACGTGTCCTTGGGCTGAGTTTGCGGCATTTCTGTAGACGTACCTTAGGCCAGTTCTTAAGCTAGGAAAGCCACTCTTTAGTGTGCTCTTTTGAAGCAAATGTTGCTCTAAATAAGTTTGAAATCATTATTTCTCAGCTATCTTTAAAAGGAACGTAGTAAATTCTGCCCTGAAGGAAGACTCCTCTGCACCGTGCAGTGTTATGGGACCGGTGCATGTTCTTTACACCTACAGCATGTGTTTTGACAGGGGTCATTTGGGAGGTGAAGAGTGGATGGGGGTAGAAAGGAACATTAATTAAGCTTGTCACTGCCAGAGGGATAGTGTGCACTGTGTGCAAGGAAATTCCAGGTAGAGCTGGGCATGATTTTTCTGCATGAAATAAATTTATTTTTTTAAAAGTATGCTTTTGAGAGAACCACAACTTACACCTAAATTCAATCTGGCAGATTATTTCATACCAAAAAAAAAAAATACAGGGGTAATATCAGAAGAGTTGGAAATGCTTGTTTGAATCCTTTTCGAATGAATCGCTTCAATGTTTGAATTTCAAAGTTAATTTAATTTCAAAATAAAATAATTCGAGAGCCTTCATTTGACAAAAAAAAAAAACCATTTCATGTGGGGCTCAAAAGTATTTCAGTTCTATGTGAATTGAAATTTTCCAAATTTTCTTATTTAGTGTCATATCCATCACTATGTAAATGAAAAAAAATTGCATTAGGGAAAACTTTACAGTATCTATTTAAAAGAAAGTGAGCAGCTATGGAGGAATAGGAATCTTTAACAGGATGCAACTGATAGAGCTAAAAGGAAAAGAAGATAAGTAGAATGGAGAAATATGTAATCTTGAATGCTAGGAGCACTTTCTTTGAGTGAGACATCCTGGCTGATCTCACTTGTCGTCTATCTAATCAGCTGGCAATGTCAACTGTTAGTCTATAAAACTGTCAGAGCAGAGGGGGAAAAGGCTTTATACTATCCTGATATTAAAAAATGGACACAGCAATAGAGACCTTATTGGGAACAGTTTGGCACCAGTCAGGGAGGGCAGAAAATGCAAATCTTATGGAGATTATTAAAAGCTGGATTATCTTGTTAGTTTTATTATAGGAGGCTGCGGGTTGGACAAGAGGAGGTCCTCATCTGAAATTTTTAACAGTCAACAGACCTATGTTTTTTGTGAAAATAAGTTCTGTGGAGAGGAACAGGCAGAAGGGACAGGAAAGCCCTCTTCTCTACTCTGCCCTGGTGAGACCACATTTGGAATATTGTGTCCAGTGCTGGGCCCTCAGCTCCAGAAGGACAGGAACTGCTTGAAAGAGTCCAGCAGGGCCACAGAGATGCTGGAGGGAGTGGAGCATCTCCTGCTGAGGAGCGGCTGAGGGAGCTGGGGCTCTTGAGCTTGGAGCAGAGGAGACTGAGGGGTGCCCTCATTCCTGGGGATCCATTGGGAAAGGGCAGTGTCAGGAGGAAGGAGCCAGGCTCTGCTCTGGGATGGCCAATGCCAGGACAAGGGGCAGTGGTCCCAAGCTGGAGCACAGGAGGTTCAAGCTGAACATGAGGACAAACTTTGTCAGT